CTCCTGGATCTACAACTTTTATGTTTTGAGTTTTCTCAGAAAATCACTGTAGAGATGTCGATGTTAAAAGGAAGTCGACGGTCAGGATGCGGAAATTTCAGTTCTGCGCTAGTTCGGGAAAATGGTCATAACTTTGTCGAGACAGATCGGATTGACCTGATTCCAATGCCAAAAGAACGAAGACTCCTGGATCTACAACTTTTATGTTTTGAGTTTTCTCATAAAATCACTGTAGAGATGTCGATGTTAAAAGGAAGTCGACGGTCAGGATGCGGAAATTTCAGTTCTGCGCTAGTTCGGGAAAATGGTCATAACTTTGTCGAGACAAATCGGATTGACCTGATTCCAAAGCCAAAAGAACGAAGACTCCTGGATCTACAACTTTTATGTTTTGAGTTTTCTCAATAAATCACTGTAGAGCTGTCGACATTAAAAGGAAGTCGACAGTCGCGACTGGTCAGGGTGCGGAAATTGATAGACACTTCAGTGAAGAATGGCTAACTTGAAGGAATCAATATCGGATACAACTATCAAAGAAGTAACCATCAACATAGTGGGGTCGAAGCAACCACCAACATAGTGGAGTCGAATAAATCGTCAAGGTAGTGGACTCAACGCAACTATTGGAAACCACTAAGGAGCATACATGTATATTTTGAGGGAACAGTTACTTGGAAGCATGATCATGAGGCAGTTATCACTTGTAGACAAGATCATAAGACAGTTATCTTAAAAGCAGGATCATAGCATCACATGGACATGAAGACAAGATTTTCGGAATGGAAGAACATGAGCACAACCGTTGAAAACCGCTAAGGAGCAGTTACCACACAACCATTATAAATATCATCAACCATCTACTGGAGACCCCCCCCCCCCCCCCGACAAATAAATCAACATGTTATCTTTCAATTATCTTACATTTCCTGTACCGCACTTTACTTTTCCTTAGCTGTAGCTTTTAGATTCGCGTCGTCAATTAAATTCCGACGTGTATCTCTATCTCGGGTGTTGCGTCGTCTATTAAATTCCAGCGTTACATCTTTGTGTATTTGTGTGACTGTATTTTCAAGCTTTGTCGTTGATTAAATTCCAGCACGGTTTGTACGTACAGTCCAGTTCGAAGTTCGAAGTAAAATTTCGCAGTTTTTCCTTGTCCGCCTCGATATTTCCTATTCGGAGTCGCCACAGAACCCGGTCTCCTCTCATTAAGAATTGAAGAACGACTTTCGGTGAATTATATTTCGTCGCGGGAGCATTTCCGGCGAAACATAATTTTGGCACGCCCGGTAAGACCATTGTGGTTGATTTGAGGAGATACGATGGTGAGAGCAAGGAAACAACTTGATTCCGATAATACTCGTGGTAACAACTCGTCACCACAACATGAAAATGACAAAGTGGGATGTTCCGAGTCATCGACTGCACAACTGGTGGCAGAACAAGAGCAAGGTGGAGAAGTCGACATCCCGAGACAACTCACCGATGAGTAGAGAATGCAATTAGAGCCGAGTCTTGTAATGTTGGCTATTATGAGGAGGATTCTTGACGAACACAAGAAGGAAACAACTATTTACATGATAAAATGCGTCATTGACGTAATCAAGCCCATAATTGTCAACACCTTCCAAGAGGTCATGCACGGGCTTGGAACATCAAGCCGTTCAATTCAAGTCCAGGCGAGTTCGGATAATCCTACTGAAGTGATCCCTAGTCAAGATCCTCAATAGGTCGAGGTAATACTAGACCAAGTGATGCAGCACATGGAATATGATCCGGTAAATATGAGAGCCGTATACAGAAAACCATATCCAAAGTGGATGGACGTGGTACCATATACAAGAGGTTTTGAAATTCCTCATTTCAACCTTTTTTCTGGCGAAGATGATCAATCGACAGTGAAGCATGTTAGTCAGTTCGATGCACAATGTGGTGATGCATCTCATGCTCATTGTTGGAAGTTAAGGCTATTTCCCTTGTCATTATCTAAGACAGCCTTTACATGGTATACATTTTTACCGGCTAATTCTATACATTCTTGGGAGCAAATGGAGACAAAATTCCATAGCCAGTTCTACAGGTTAGTTCCCAATGTGTCTATTGCTGATTTGGCTGATATTAAGCAATATAATTATGAATCAGTCGAGCACTTCATTTTCAGGTTCAAGATGGCTAGAAATAGATGCCTTACTTCAGTCCTAGAGAAAGAATTTACAAATTTGGCTTTCAATGGATTGAACTTCAATTTTAGAGAAAAATTTGCATGTCAAAATTTTGCCGATTTATTCCAATTGGCAACGAGAGTGTCTAAATATGAGCAATTACTTAAGGACGGAGATAAAGGGCCACATGAAGACTTTACTCAAGACGTGTCTTTCGAGGAAAAAATATGAGCCATATGAGAATATAAAATTCGGCGAAAAAAAATAAATCATATTTGCCGATGACAAGGGGGCATATGATGACTCTTGCTTACCTAATTTAAAAGAATCGAATGATCTATGAATCATTCCATTCTTTTAAAGGGGGCATATGTTTACTCCAAAAAATGGACAACTTGTTGACATGGTTCAGTCATGATCGATGAGTGTTTGTACCAAAGATCATCAAGGGACACATGGCAGAGACTTGAGGCAACGTTCATGTGTATATGTTTACACCCAAAGATGACCAATTTTTTGGTATTATTGACAAGACTAGTCATAACTTCGTCGAGAAAATTTCAATTCTGCGCTAGTTTAGGAAAATGGTCATAACTTCGTCGAGACAGATCGGATTGACCTGGGTCAAAGCCAAAAGAACGAGGATTTCTGGATCTACAACTTTTATGTTTTGAGTTTTCTCATAAAATCACTGTAGAGCTATCGACGTTAAAAGGAAGTCGACAGTCAGGATGCGGAAATTTCAGTTCTGCGCTAGCTCGGGAAAATGGTCATAACTTCGTCGAGACAGATTGGATTGATCTGGGTCTAAAGCCAAAAGAACGAAGACTCCTGGATCTACAACTTTTATGTTTTGAGTTTTCTCAGAAAATCACTGTAGAGATGTCGACGTTAAAAGGCAGTCGACGGTTGCGACGGTCAGGATGCGGAAATTTCAGTTCTGCGCTAGTTCGGGAAAATGGTCATAACTTTGTCGAGACAGATCGGATTGACTTGCTTCCAAAGCCAAAAGAATGAAGACTCCTGGATCTACAACTTTTATGTTTTGAGTTTTCTTAGAAAATTTCTGTAGAGCTATCGACATTAAAAGGAAGTCGACGGTCGCGACTGGTCAGGGTGCGAAAATTGACAGACACTTCAATGAAGAATGGCCAACTTGAAGGAATCAATCTCAGATACAACTATCGAAGAAGTAACCATCACCATAGTGGGGTCGAAGCAACCACCAACGTAGTGGAGTCGAATAAATCGTCAAGGTAGTGGACTCAACGCAAATGTTGGAAACCACTAAGGAGCATACATGTATATTTTGAGGGAACAGTTGCTTGGAAGCATGATCATGAGGCAGTTATCACTTGTAGACAAGATCATGGGACAGTTATCTTGAAAGTAGGATCATGGCGTCACATAGACATGAAGACAAGATTTTCGGAATGGAAGAACATGGGCACAACCATTGAAAATCGCTAAGGAGCAGTTACCACACAACCATTATAAATATCATCAACCATTTACCGGAGACCCTCCCGACAAATCAATCAACATGTTATCTTTCAATTATCTTTAATTTCCTATACCGCACTTTACTTTTCCTTAGTTGTAGCTTTTTGATTCGCGTTGTCGATTAAATTCCGGCATGTATCTCTATCTCGAGTGTTGCGTCGTCGATTAAATTCCGGCATTACATCTTTGTGTACTTGTGTGGCTGTATTTTCAAGCTTTGTCGTCGATTAAATTTCGGCATGGTTTGTACGTACAGTTCGGTTCGAAGTAAAAGTTCGCAATTTTTCCTTGTCCGCCTCGATATTTCCTATCTGGAATCGCCACGGAACCCGGTCTCCTCTCATTAAGAACCGAAGAACGACTTTCGGTGAATTATATTTCGTCGCGGCAACATTTCTGGCGAAACACGCTCCCCACCTCCGGTCGAGGCCAATCCGACGGCCTACCTCGAACGGTCTCGATCCCAACAAACATAGTAGTGCAAGATAAAACCCGCAAGGGGAGAGATGGGATCGCAGCCCAAAAAGCAAGCATCCAAGAGCTGTGAGGAGAGGAGTTTGGATACTTGTAATTTTTCATTATGGAGCCAAAATAGGGTGAATTTAGCGCGATCCTAAATTTTTGTCTTAAATTATTTTAAAGAGAGCAAAATGTTCGTTCAATGTTTGTTATATATAAGGATCCGCATAGTGGTCAGGCAAGAAAATGATGTTAAATATTTCATTTCTCCATCTGATAAGATCTATTAATCTTACTACTGATTTCATTATGATATTATACAAAAAAAATGAAAATAATCACACACGAGTGCACGAAAATCAGTATGACTATAGGAAATTCCTCAAAATCTTCGATAGGTGTACAAATTAGATCTTCGCTCTTTCGCTCATTTTCGTTTGTCGTTGTCAATCTCAAGCTATGTAGTACTAATTTGTAAGGAAAACAACTAAATATAAAATTGAGAAATCACTGACCTTTCTCCTAGCAAACGTCAATCTTGATCTTGAACTAGTTATGAGAAAAAAGGAAGAAGGATTTTTCACGACATCCATGATATGAGCGCTCATTCACGAGAACTCCCTAAAACCAATCTCAAAGGTAAGATCTTACCTACACAACCTTGGAAGATACTAATATGTCAAATCAATGGAATCCCGCTATCTGCCAAGTTTTAAAAGTATGAGATTTGGAGTAAAAATGGATGTATACAATTCACGGTGATCTAAGCTCAAAGATTCGGTCAAGGAAGACAACAAAGGCTTGAATTGCTCAATTGTGTTGGGTATCATCTTTTGAGGAAGAAGGAATGACTAGAAAATGCAAGAAATATGAAAGTGGAACAAAATCATATCATTTGAAATCGAATAGTGAAATACACGGACGTACTGTGAAGTGAATATGATGAATGAATTAATCACTATAAAGATAAAGAGGGGTTGTGCTAAAGGAACAGAGCATCAAGTTACATGAATTCATCTATACCGCTAAATCGATAAACCAAAGAGTGACTTGTTTAATCCGGGAACAGAGAGGCAACTTTATAGTCGACAGGCTGCTCTGATGATGTTGCAAAATCAGTGATATGATTTCAGGTGAAAAATTTGGCAGTTCGGCTCGTATGACTTCTTGGAAGCCGCTTGCTCAAACTTCTTACCCGCACTTTCGTTCTCTTCCAAGCTCATCTGCATGAAGAAGCGTATCCACCAGGACGAGCTCCGCATTTTTGCCTAAACGAATAAGAACCGTCATTAGCTAAATTGGCACATTTTTTATGTGATCAAAGGACAATGCTTTTAATAAAATAAGTTGAAGCATTTCTCTGATTCAACAAAAACAATAGAAAGTAATCCCCTGTGAATTTATCTTTACGAGAAACGCAATGCTTGAATAACCAAGGTAACTGCATTGCTTGTGCAGCAACTTAGCACCTAAGTTTTGTTCATTGACAAGACATGGAAAGAGCCGACTCCAAATTTTTGGGTCTGGCCTGGAGACAAGTTCATCCTAAACCACGCCGCACTGAAACTGGGGATGCAACCCATACTCTACCAGGTATGTGGTGCTCATGAGTAATCAGTCAATATGGAAATCTACAAAGGCCATACTCAGGTTTCCCCCTTATTACATTTGCATCCTCTAGAATATACGATTGGAAATTAACTGATCAATGAATATATTCTCCGACATAGACATACAAGCAGCATTTATGGTACTATTAAGACAAAGGTTCAAATAAACTATAAGAAGCTTAAAAACGTCCTGATTCCTTTGTTAGCATCTATAAGCTATAATGTTAACTATAATCAATTAACTTCTGTACCTTCTTCCTCATATCTTTTAATAGTCAGCCACTTTCGTTTACTTGTCAAATATTATTTACTAATTATTACTATTTTAGCCATTGAATTTAATAATACGTAAAAATTCTGAAGAACAGATTATGTACAAATAGATTGACATGTAAAGGCAACTGTTAATATTTAGCATTTTTTTAAATATTATACTACCACTTTCATATCTACTATTACACTTCATTATAAAGAGAAACTTTTCAACCTGGAAAAACCAGTTGAAGAACGTACAACACAGGTCCTAAAAGCTCTTCAAAGTATAACTAAAGCTTGTAGATACAAATTATCAGCCAAACAAACTATTAAAAACAACATTTTCTATAAATCTATGTTGGCTTCCATCATGCTTTCCAACAGACAAGTAAAAGAACCACTATCGTAGGCATTTTTTGAGTGCCACGTAAACTATTTTTTATATTGTCTATTGAAAGAGCTTGATTGAATTTTAGTTTTAGGACTTCTAATGCACTTTTCTTGCAGTTGAGGTATTACTACTACTTTGACCAAAAAAAAGGGTATGACTACCATGACCTATGTCATCAATCCATCCACTTTTAGTAATTTCAAATTTCAGAATTTAAACCTAGCTTACAGTCTCTACATCCTACCATGCTCATTTCACCAATTTTATATGTCCCACAAGTTCTCCGACCTACCCTTATGTATGCTGCCGCTAGATTGTTCTACCGAACCTGCTTTAATCAGTACTTATTTACTGTATGCTAACTAGACAGAAGTGAAGAGACCAAATGCAGAAGACTTATTGCATGCACGCAGCTAATATGGGCTCAAGTCGCGACTACACCCAATCCATGAGTCTCATGGGTACCCTTATGGGATCATGCTAGTTCCATAAGGGTCAAAATAGTGCGAATATAATTTCCCCTTAAGTTGGATTTTTACAGATACATTGAACTGCACATTCCAACTCCATCATTCTGGCATTCTCTCAAACAAACAAAATGACATCAATTGACTGCACTATAGGCAGCTGCCCCTTTCAATAACTATAGTTCGTATCGATACAAATCAGGTAACTTATCCAGATAACCTTGTTAAGCACCTCAATTAAAGCTTTACATTATAATGAAGCTGTGAGAACTCAGAGTCTGAGAAGTAATAAAAGGAGCCATTTTTTTCTTCCCAGCGTTTGAGAAGAACACAAGAACTGATTTAAGAATTTTAAGTTGGATGGAACAAAATGATAGGATGTGTCCGCCGGCAAAATTGAACAATCAGGATTGGCATTATTTAAGGAAGAGACAGCTACTTACCGGTCGTCCAAATTTAGACAATTCTGCGACTTTAGCTCTTTGTCGACCAGGGAAACCTAATACCAAGAGCATATAATTACAATGGAAAATTAACGGAGCAAGCAAGACCAGTCTATTGTTACATGTATCCCCGTGGGACAAGTAAAATTGATCGTTCTAAATTCACAAAAGGACATGATTACAAACATTTATCAACTACAAAATTAGTACAAGGAGGACTCAATGACTACATATTAAGGTTGGAGAATGTTATTAGCTAGCGAACCAAAATAAACTATTGAAGCAGTTACCTGTAAAAACTACTATACCATCAGCCGAAACCCTTGCCAAGTCGGGAAGAGTCTTGTTCAAATACTTTGGAGATAAATAGTCCAGAGCATCCGATACAACTACAAGGGAAAAAGACTTTGGCCTGTATGGAAGAGGAAACTTAATATCAGCAACACGTACGAGGCCCTTACGAACAAGGCCTTTGCAGCTTGCATCAGCATCTTCTATATCATATGGTTCCACACCCCAGGCTTCAGTTTCTTCTTCTTGAAACAGTTTAGAAACCACTGAACAAGTATCAGGACCCACATGCAAAACCTTTCGCATACTGTCACCATATGCTTTCTTCAGAAGAGGAATGGCTCTCTGTACTTCCGATGTACACAAGAAGTCACCTGAGAAGAATAAAAATCCAAACCATGAGTTGAAAACTAAGAACGCTTACTCAAACAATAACAATAAGCAGACCCAATAGAAACTTTCGTGTCAACAGTTTCTATCTCCATTCGGCCATCATTCGTGTATGTTTACTGAAATGTATAATACTATTTAATCTGGTTCTAATCTATTCTGGGGACAGAGATGTAGACGCGACCTATATCCAATAGACACAGCAAAGGCTTAAACACAACATAAACAGGAATGAGACTAGATAATGTTCAATGGTTGAGTCTCATTGCAGACGAAGTCTTGTATCCTTTCCAACGAGAAAGCAACTAAAGGAAGACACTGCTTGAAAAACAGAATCTTATAATGGTACATGAAAAGAACGGCAACTTTACCTTCAACCTTGCTAACTGCATTTTTGTTACCTCCAAATATGCCTGTGGCATGAAAAACCACCTTATCAATGCCAGTATAAAAGATAGCGAGAAGAACTACTGTAGACAGAAAAAGCATTACTCAAGCCTTCACTATGCTCATCATGGCTTCAGTAAAATTAAATCAATGCAGTGAAGACTCAGTTTATGTTTTATCTAAATCATCAAGGCAAAAAGTATGGTACAAGTATTGTAATCAAATCCAAAAACAAACCTGAGCCACCATAAGCAAGGCAAATGAGCAGTGCTGCTCCCTGGTAGAGTAAGCATGCAAAGGAAATTAGAATGTTACTCGTCAGAAAGTAAAACTGGCCAGCACACAAATCAGGAGGCCATCATCTCACAGCTGTAGAGTACAAACATAGTATTGGGAAGTACCACAAGAATTAGGCCAATGGACAACAGCGGGGAAGACCGGGACTTTGAATGTAAAGATCCCGCGAATGGGAAGCTTCCAGTATCCACAAACCTACGCGTAGAGCCCACTTGCCTCCTCGACATGGTTGGTTACACGATTTACAGGCCTTGACCCTGGCTAGCACAATCTAAGAGAGTAACGAAGAGCCGAGAAAGTAAGAATTTGTCTACCAAGATGGGAAAAGAAGGCAGCAAAAAAGCAACAGCTCATAGAATAAGAGAGCGTCAGATTAATGCACATCAATCAATAAAAAAAGAGTATGCACTTCAATCTAGTGTCAAAGGACGCGAGTGATGGTCATGTTACACCAGTGAAAAACATCACACGTATATAGCTTTTTTCTCCATCAAATCGAGGGTAACAAGGATCGAGTGAATTCAATGCGCAGGGCTCAATCTGGCTACGCACATCTGAAGCTAACATGCATCGACGACACCACTCAAATAAAAAAGGAAACTTGACTCGAGCCCGACAATCATACGAGGCCGCGGGCCGACAAATTACAAAAAACCGAGTAACAAGAAAACGAGCAGTAACGTGCACATCGGATCTGGACTTGTCCGCAAGGAAGATCCCATCGAACCTCGCTACCCGAAGAACTCGAACAGAGAGAGAGAGAGAGAGAGAGAGAGAGAGAGAGAGAGCAATGCAGACAACAAAACAAAAAGCAGAAACTGAAGCACGCGCGAACTCATCGACCGTAATTTCGACAAAGCACGGAAAACCCAGGAAGCCGCAGAGCCCAATGCGGCAAAATCGGGACCCCACATCACCTTCATTGCCAAACGAGGAACCATCGCGCCATATCACAAACATACCCAGATAAGACACAGGGAGACAGGGAATGGGTATCAAATTGGGAAGAAGAAGAAGAAGAAGAAGAGGAGGAGGAATCACCTCGGGAGAGATCAAGCGCGAGAACACCGCATTGGAGAGGGGGGGTCGTCTAGAAAGGGCAACTTTTGAGGAGGAGGAGGAAGGACGATGACGACGATGACAATGGGGGGGGGCGTGAGATTGGATCTGGGAAATGCGCGCTCGCACAGCGAGGGAGGGAGGGGGAGAGAGCAAAAGGAGATATAATTGCTACCGGCAGAAATTTTCTTTTTTTTTTTGGGGGCCAAAAAAGTGGAAATATACGAAGCCGGAGATTTTCCCCTTTTTCTTTTTCTTTTATTTCTGTTGGTTTTTTTTTTCTCCTCCCTTTTTCGGTTGGATTGATGTTGGTGTTTTTTGCGCGTGGAGAGCAAAAACGCGCGGCCATTTTTTTTTTCCCTTCGAAAAAGTGCAAGGCTAAAAAATTGCGAATTGCGAACCAACTCGTTTTGTGTGTCGGCGAGGCCCAACTGGCGGACTGTGATTGGGAAAGGGGAGGGGAGGGGAGGGGCAGGGGCAGGGGCAGTTGGGTCATTGCCGCGGGCGGTGGCGGTCTCGGTGGTGCACCGGGAGACCCGGAGCAGAGATTTTTTCGCCCACTATCCTCGTTGACTCTTGTTGCCCCCCACCCCCCCTAGATGTTGCCGTTTGACCAGAACCACGTTTTTTTGTGCTCTTGAAATGTACCCGGTTCAATCTGGAAACTGGCCAGATTTCGATCTGATGAATTGGGTTCGACCAGGAGAGTATGAAATTTGGTGAACCCGTGGTTCCGTGCCACGGCGACCCCCCATCCAACAATGAAAGCCGTCATCCCATGTGACATTAGCCCGCCCTGTGTCATCTCCCGCTAAACCGTCTCAGATCTGGATCTATGAGTGTGTGACTGGTCACCATCGTTTATGGTCATGTGGCTCTCGAATCTCGGATATGATCGGAAGCGAGCGACAACCACCTTGCAAGTGGTCAAGGGCCGGCCTTCTAGATGAAGATCTGAAAGCTGCGCGACCACCACTGTGAGGTGGTTGCCCTCCTCGGGCGGCCACCCCAAGGCGGTCTTGGGACAACTAAGGAGTCTCCATTTTCACTTATTATTTATCTTTTAAATTGATGATGCGATGCTTACATGGCACCATGTAAGCCACGTCAACATTGTATGTGCATATAGAAATCGTTACATTAATTTTCAAAGTGGCCATCTTAGCAATCCGACGGCCAAATTTAACATAGATGAACCATTATACCGTATAGGGACATTTATGAACCAAAGAAAAAGTATAACGATTTTCATTTTTCAGTAAGAGCATAGCTACCCCTAATGCCATTTTACCTTTGTTAGTCCGACGCTATAAAGTAGTGATTTGTCGGTAATAGCAAACGGCTCAGGCGCTCTGCTTTGGGAGTGCAAAGTTTTACCAACAAAAGCTAAAACGCTAAAGGATAGCTTTTCCTTTGATTCATATCATAAAGAACAGCTAGCATTTCGAGTACAAGTCGCATCCCATGGATTACATTATAGAGCTTACTTTATTAGAATTCAGTTAAAGTTTTATGGCAGAAAAAGAAAAGGCAAAGAATCCATGTTGAGTACAGAACACTTTCTGCACTTGCAATATGAGGAAGCAACTGCTTTGGCAGGTCGAAATATTCAATAGTTAGAAATGGAAAACCTATCGATGAGAGAAAATATCGACACCGACGACCTTTAGGTAGCTCAAAATTGAACACAGAAGATGCATAAGCGTGTCGATACAAAATCGTGGGCTTACAGATCCCAAAAAGAAAAGAAAAAGAGGGACATGGATAGCTGCATAAATTAGCTAGTCGACAGATTTTCTCTTCTTGCTTTTGCGATTATGATCGCCATCTCTTTGATTTACCTTCTTCCCACCTTTTTGAGCCCTTTTTGGTGCCTGAGACCAAATCAAAACATATTTATCAATAACCATCCCATGAATATTCTTCCCTGACCGTCGTAGACAATTAAAAAGCTAAATCCCAGCTCATTACTAGGCATGCAAGAAGTCGCATAAAGAATTTTGAACTTCCTGAAATTTGCAGGATTATGACATCATTTTATTGTTTTCTTGAATCCATCCATGGTAAAATTTCCTAGAAACAAACCAACAGAACAAAAGAAGGTAGTCATGTGCTTTCTTTGTTTTTCTTCTGCTTATTTTTTTTTACAAAATAGCAAGTAGAGAGAAGGTAGGATTCGGACCCAAGACCACTCGCAGGGTCTTGGTACTGGTTAATTACCAGGTAAACCGCTTGTTCCAAAGTGAATTCACAAACTTATCTATTCATTCATTCATATAGTTTATCTAGGGCAGAAGAAGGGACCACAAGTACCTCGACTGTGAATGTCTTGAGAGGATCTCTGCTTTTCCTAGATTTCCTCTTAGTCCCCTGCTTATTTGCGGAGTCGGACCTTCCCATAGCAGCCCTAGCAAGCTTGACCATCTTGCTTGCTTCCTGAGTCGTGGGATCCAATAAGTAATCGGGCACATCACGTAGATGAGGAGCAGGGGGCTTCTTGCTCAGAACCTTATCGTGCTTCAACAGATCTGCTCAAGTACAACCTCAGCTCTATATCACAAAGTACATTATAAACAGATAACTCAGAATACAGAAACCAATTGAATTTCAACTGTTTTACTTACCTAAGTCCTTAGGATTAGCTTCAAAATGAGCCTTCAACCTGTTGGGCAACAGCACAATGGGAAACCGTGCCTTCATGAGGAAATCTCAAACTATTTGAAGATGGCAACGCGCGCGCAAGAGAGAGAGAGAGAGAGAGAGAGACCCCATCTGATCAGAGAAAATTCACTAAAATGAAATGCAAATGGCTGGTAACTCACTTCTCAGAGTTCAGAATTTCATTCCTCAAGTCCTGAGCCCGTGATTCTCTAACAGCAACTTTTGTCACACTCTTTGCAACGTCCTGCTCCATGTTAACAACTAAATGCTTCAGATGTTTGACCTTAAACCTAGTAGTTTGTGTTGGTAAAGGACACTATCGATACTCCAGGCAATTAACATAGGAACAACAGGACATAACCCAACCATGAACATAGAAAATATAATCTGCTTTGGGAAAAACAATTCCTAGGGGTGATTGAATCTTCATGGGTCAGAACTAGAAAGACGAATAACAGCAACAGATGGTTAAATATTCTCCCTTCCCGTTCTCAATGTTAAACCATTTGAGTGATCTTTGCCATAATGTCACGGAAAAGATGGGCGATCACTATTTTGTTAAATTTGTGAGGGAAAAATTATCAGGATTGATGCTATCTTGTACTCATGTTTCAGACACAGCACGGACAAGAGAGATAATTCTAATCTAGCATATTTATACAAAAAGATCAAGTCAGATTACCTCAGCTCTATAGCGCAAGGATTCAACAGCATTCTTTGTGAGCAAAGGAAATGGCACAAGAAGATTCGACTCTTTGTTCTCATCCTCCCCTAAGAAGGATTTTATCTCTTCTAAAATATCCATCTCTTTAGGGGAAACCTGTCAAATAAACAGTTAATTCCATAACAGATATGGTCATTACATACAAAGGAAGAGATGGATAAAAGCAGAGCTAAAAAATGCTTCAAAGCACAAACTACAAACAATAGTTTCGAAGAGCTAACAGAAAAACCAGACATCAGAATTGAATCTCCACTGTACTAAAAAAACTATTCAAAAGTAAAACAAAAGCAGAATTAAAAATTTGGTTGTTTCATGATCCATTACGCCTCTAGTTCGCTCTCTCATATCTAGGTCGTTTCATATTCAAGTTGGGTTGATTTCGAATTCTAACCCAGTTTGACTCTGTTTCGATTGTTGCATTTTCAGTTCCATTGGAGTTCTAGCAGTTGAAAAAACAGCCAACTATTCCCACTTCTATGTACCAGGCTACCAGCCCAATCTGGCCATCAACACCTAGCAGCCCAAACCATCAGACGCAAGCTTGGATTAACAAGCAGCTTTAAGGTCGACAAGTGGCAAATCAAGGCAAGCCGCTATTCAGATCCAGTTCAAGTTCTCAAGTGGCTGATTCCGGATTTATGGGTCTAACCAGCAGCGTAGTTTCCTAAAATTGCCTCTGAATGCATAGAAAGTCTGCAATTCATCTTCTCAACTCTTCTCTATAGGGCAGGTATACTCACCAGGGACACAGCCGACCCGGTGTTGTATGCTCTTCCAGTTCGTCCAATGCGATGTATATATCCTGCCACACTTAGAGGCATTTCAAAATTGATAACCTGCAAGAATCTGATGTTCAGTGAAATGACACTTAACAGTGGACTAAAATAGCAGAGCAGTTAAAGTGCTTAGCAACATGTAAATCATAGGCTAAATAGTCCCAATTATATTATCAGGCTCCCAGAATCATGGAAATCAGGAGTGAATTTCACAACAAACCATGCAGTAAAAGAAAATAAGAGAACCAACAGAACTTATAAGCTTATCATCATTCACAAAATTGGCTTTCTCCTTTTAAATGGCTCTTTTACCTATAGCTTAAACCTATTTGATCTAGATAGACCTTCTGATTTGCTGTAGCTGCAAGACAATTATATCTATTATTGCAGGAATTGATACTGCTTACATGAACTCCAAATGTTTGAAGACTAACCGTTTAATCAGGAGATTCAGTTACTTTTTTTATCTCAGACAAAGGGTCCTGTCTATATTATTCTGCTAAATTTCTTGACCATCTTCAGTGCCTAACAGGCAGCTCAAAATTGGTCTGATTTTGGTTCTTCAGAGCAATTTCTAGAAAGCACTCTCAGCAAACATCTTTCAAGATCCGGATATACTTCCTTTAACCATGTCCTCATTTAAAATCAACCAAAGGCTCATCTACAAGAAAATTCAATCTCAAAAACATCAAGTACACAAACAATAACCAAAGGCTGAAAAATTATGTACCGTATAAACATTTTTGAAGTCAATTCCCCTGACTACTCCAAATTCAGAGTCCAATTTTGCCTTAGCATGCTTTCGAGATTTCTTTCGCTGCCCTTGGTTCTCATCATTGTCTTTTGCCTTTTCTTTTATTTCACTATCATCAGTTGCAATCAGGTAATCAAAAAGCCCAGCATTGAATTCCTGAAACAAGCAGCAACACAAAATGTACAAGGCGAAACGCAAAGGTTATGTAAACATCAAAGCAGACAACATACCACCAACAGGTCCATTTCGGACAATTGATTTTATGTGTTAAATTTTCCTCAATTTTGTAAGTAACTCAAAACCAGTGTGCTTACATACCTCAAGCATATGAAGACGGGAATTTTGTGGCAGCTCCGCATTTAAAACTGCAGAACGGACCCCGAACTGTCAATATCCAACATCATAATGCAATCAGAAATAAACAATCTCCACTATTGAGGTTGCTATTGAAGCACACTTGACTGATGATACATGCTTACAAAGAGAAGATGAAAATGAGTAAGCGAAAAAATCCTTTCTTTAAATATGGTTGATTCATTCACCACAAAAGAAAGCATGGCCAATTACATTGGTATCAACAGCAACCAAGAATCTCACTGTTGGGAGTTTAAGCACCAAAACGAAAGTAACAGCACGGCTTTGTCAAAATGCAGTAAATTAAAATGCTAGAAAAGGTTGTCACAATGAATGAGTGCACACATTGAATGTCTCAGAAATATGTTAACTCGGTTTTTTGATTGGACGTGAGCATCTTTTAGTTACCAACAGATGCAAAATGCCATCAACATATGCACACATCTGCAAGAATTGGCAGAAAATCTGACTGGCCGGCAATGACACTTATGCTCTGTTTGGGAAGGAAGGGAGGGAGAGAAAAATGACGGGTGGGTGTAAAACTAGGATCAGTTATCAAATCTTTGTGAGGAGGAGAGGAGGGAAATTTGAAATTTTCTCTCAACTATCCTCTCCTCCATATCATCAAACAGACCCTTAAAAGCCAAACTTTAGTTTTAAAAATCAATATGAGCTCGACCTATTTCACTAAGAGAGGTACTTAACTTAGAATAATCTAAAATAAGCTAGTAATCTAATGAACATCAATGTCGATCATCAACCATTAGACATGCACAATAGAAATATAGTGATATTCTTTCATTGGGCTGCTGATGGCTTGAGCTACATGCAGATGAAGAAAAGGAAAAGAGGTATTCTCAGGCCCATTAGCAAATATTTTCTATTTGTCTCTGCTATAAATAAGCAAACTACCTCCAACTTCGACTATAAGATTTCATGAGTAAGTCTATGTCAACACTTAAACTAAACTAAGACCGTAAATAAGTAGAGATGGACAAAATCGCAATTTATTATCGACAAAATTACTGCCAATAATCAGTAAATCTCTCACCTTCCGAATTTGAATTCAACATAATTGTCACTCCGTAAATCCCTCATTTTTTCAGTTTCACAGCAATTTAAATTCGCATTACAAAAATGGACCAAAGATTTATGCACTATCTCGTTCATTGCTAATTTAAAACATACTGTTTTTTATCACAAAAATAACTATATGCTCTCTTTTTAGTCCTAAAAGAAAAGGAAGCTAAACAATTCAAGTCTATAAGAAAGTATCAAGTATTATAGTGGTGGCCTAAAATATGTTTGACATGTCCATGCCAAAGGATCATCCTGCAAATTAAGTAACTACGAAGAAAATATAATAGCTAACATAAGATGAGTAGATACCTTCTCCAGAAAGAGTTTCAATCTGAAACCCATGTCAATAGTATTCATAAATATCAAAACCTTCTTCTGCACTAATTCCAGCTTTAAGAGGGCAAGGATGTGCAGCAGTTTATCATGCTCGGCGCATGAAATCTAAAAGCAAAATTAAGATTAAAGTTCATCAGTACACAATCACAAGTCAAGCAGAATCAAGTACAAAGCATTTGATCAGGTCCCAAAATAAATTGTTCAGTGGCTTCATTTTTCTATATGCAATGAAGATGTTTCGGTTTATACTTGCCACATCAATGACACAAACAGGATGTCAGGACCATACTGTGCATTATAATTCATATTGCAGTGGGTCAGCTTTTTGCTTTATCTTTTTGATAAGTAAAAGTAAATCTACTATAGGGCACCAAGGGAGTGCAATCCATTTAAAAGAAGTCAAGAAAACAAAAAGGAGCTCAATCACGGAATATAAAAACTCTAAATTTCTATGAATGCATTTATATCCACATGCATGTTTCCGCTACAACAAAAGTATAGAACGTTAATTTCAATAACAAAAAGCGGATGACTCCGCTGCCTTCAATCTCTCATTCCTCTCTTCCCAGATCACCCACAAGAAGGACAGGGAAATTGAAGAATCCTTCTTATTAACTCTTTCGCTAGCCATAGCCAATCATTAAGTGAAAAGTATAAGACAAACACATACCAACTCTACATCATAAGGAAAAAGGAGAATATACTGATAGAACATTGAGTGATCTTATCAGGTTAACTAAAGGTATTGCCGGATATTATGGACTACAACTTTGAGCCCCAAATTTCCTTTAGTACAGTTGAATCACACTCTGCATATACTGATGATTTCATTGACATCCACAAGTACCTCTTCTTAATCTTTGCATGAAGGATATTGGAGTTGTAGACGAGATGTCATTACTAAAAATTACTCATTTAATTGGTGCGACACATCCTCTGTGTTTTTAATATTCAAACTAGAACGAAAAAATAAAAAACAAGAGGACGATGACTTTCTCAAAGAAGGATCAAAGGAAGAAGCTTCTACCCTAGCATCGATCGGTGCAAAAACAAAATTTTCTATAAATTATAGCGATGAACATCACAAAAATAGGGTCATAACTTGTAAGAAAAAATAGAGCCATTATTCTACTTCTATCTAATAAAAAAAATAAGCCTTTATTATTCTTAGAGAAAATCTCAAAAATGGCAGCCTCACATTTCAGTTGCCATTGCTGCCAAATATCACTTTCATTTCTTTTATATTGAGAAAAAGAGACTCCTCATCATAAGTCGAATTCTTAAATAAGTAACAGCAATGGAATTTTTCCTCTTCTCCATCTTGGTTGTTTCATTTGGAAGGGAGGCTCGATAGGGTTATTTATGAGGGGAAGAATTGCACTTTAAAACCTCTGCCACCACACGTGCTATGCTTTGCGATCAACATTGTAGTAAGATTTTAAACCTTTCTTCTGAAAAAGGAAACATCCAACCAACAGTAATACAGGAGAGTAGAATAATTACCCAAAATTGCTGAACATTCTTAGGAATGATATCGTCCTTAACATCTCCAACTTCTGGCAAAGTCAGTATGAACGGGTTGTGCAATATCTGCTTCTTGAGTTTCTCAACATCGGCACTGCAGGGTATAAGCTGACCACCATAAGGTTTGGAATAGAAAGATCCGAACAACAGGATACAAGTAGTAAATATGTACTACATAGAAAATGGTTGACACTATCATGTACTTCCACTAAACAATTCATATGAACTCGGCTTCAAATTTACTTCGTCTTCATACGTGCTAAACACAAACCTCGAAGTAGCTGACATAAGAAGGCACTGACAACGTCTAGGAATATGTGCTTTGAGAGCTCTTAGATCCTCCTCATAGCCATATGAAAGCAAGAGGTCTGCCTGAAAATCAACAGAACCGAGATGGTTTTAACTAGTGAAAAAGATAGCGGGTAAGCAAATATTACCCACCATATCCTGTAACTTTAAACATGAGGAGATACATGCCTCGTTCTCAAGATCAGAAATAGAGTGAGCGTAATCAAAAGGAACACAATTAGAACAGAGATGTCACATAGATTGTCGGAGGACCTCTCTGTCAGTCAAATGCATTTCCCAGTATATAAGAAAATTATAAAAAAATTGAAGCCCGCAGCTTAACTCTACATTCTCACCTCATCAAGGACAAGAATTTCAAGTGATTCGTTCAGGGATGCCGGTTGAAGTACACCAGATGACAAACATTTGCGTACGCAACCAGGCGTGGAGACCACAATATCAGGTGATCCAGCCAATGCAGCTCGCTGCAAGCGATAAAACAGATTCATCAATTGTTCCCAAAATCAGAATTCACAGCCATCCATCACTCCGCAATCTCCATATCAAACCCAAATGAAGGATATCGAACCCACCATATCAGCTCCACCAGTCAATTCCACAGCTTTCAGCTGAACTCGACATAGCTCGATCAGGGACAAGACCTCCGCGCGGACCTGCAGATGTTTCACGACTCAAATCAGCACGTATCTCGAAACGCTATAAAATTTAAGCTCGCCCGCACCCTCAACCCCAAAACCGAGACTTGCCTGCTGAGACAGCTCCCTCGTCGGAACGAGAATGAACGCGCTCGGCGCAACTTTGCTCTTCGACCCGGAATTGCCGAACAGCTTCTGGAGCAGAGGAAGAAGGTAAGCGAAAGTCTTCCCGGAGCCGGTCTTCGCCCTCGCGACAACATCCTTACCCTCCTATAACCGCCAAAAGAAAAAGAAAGAAGACGCGCGTTAAATCAACGTTCAAGCAAATAGACAGTGACGCGGCAATCCTCGGCTTCGCCTAGACAGCGGGGTGTTCGGGCTAGGAGGGCTCACGAGGATCAGCGGGATGGCAACTTGCTGGATCGGGGTGGGCTTCTCGACGCCCTTCTTCGACAGGGCGCGGACCAGGCGCGGGTCGAGCCCGATCTCTTCGAAGCCGCGCTCCTCCTCCTCCTCCGCCGCCGCCGCGTCCCCTCCTCCGTCTCCGCCGCGCTGCGCCGGGGGTTCGACTCGCTGCGCTTCCTTCTCGTCGGATTCGCCCATCGTGATTGCGAGGAAGTAGAAGAAGAAGAAGGAGGAGATGAAGGCGAGAGTTTCAGCAGTCTGAAGAACCTTTTAGGGTTTTGGGGAGGCTTTAGGAGGAGGAGGAGGAGGAGATCAGAACGTTAGGGCCGTTGGAAAAGGGTCCACCGGAGCCGGGTTAAAACCCGAACCGACCCGATTAGTTTCTAATTGTCATGTCTACGGATTTGTGCGTGTACATTTGGCACTAGGTACCCATAAAATCCGATGTTTGCGCATTAATCTAAAGGAATATGTTAATTTGGGAGATTAGAGGAATTTGGAAGAGATTTTTGCCACCTAATACTAAGCTCTGCGTGTAATAATTGAGACACGTGCCGTATCGTTTCCTCACATTTTTTATGATTGTCATTGAGAAATCTACTTTCTTGGATAAACAGAAATTAAGAGAAAGACAACAGGTTACTCCAATCCCAAAATCTTAAGGTGAAAACTTCTAAGTTAAGTCGGACGTTCAATGAGATATTCATCAGTTGATTTTAAACATGCATTTTTTTAAAAATTTTAAAACTCAATTATACTTTCGTGATAAATTTTAAAACTTTCAGTGTACTTATTTTTATAAATTTAAATCAAGTATCATCAACTATGGAAATTAACATATTGTCAGAGTAAATTTATCCTGGTAACATGTAGATTCTCCTCGGAAGGATAGAAGCGAATTTATTGTTGTTAGACGGATAGATGCCGAGATGCTTTTGCCTACATACTTAGCTAATGCCCAGCGAAGAAAGTTCACAATCACAAGGCAAAAGCATAATCTGTTGGGACTCATGGGACATCTGAGCATGAAGAACTTCCCGTTCTTCGGAAACCGCAACTTCAATCAGTACAGCTCCCTCGAACTTCGGTGGCCCAGAGGATTGCTTACGAAGAATCATCGAATGCCGACTCCGGGCCTCTTCACTGCCCCCAGAAGGTGCTGCTTGATACACGCAACTTCACCGATTGAGGCGCTACTGTTCAACTGCCACACTAGCATCCTCCTCTGTGCGAGGCGGCCTCCACTTCGAGTAAAAAACACTCCTCTCGACCGCATTCTCCTTCTTCGATCTGTCATTCTGTACTTCCAGCTTCTCGTCAATGAGCTCTAGCAACTCCTGCAAGCCAACTCCTGTCACTGCGGATGTTTTGACATGTGGACCGGCCCGAGCAGAATCGGAAACATTCCTCGTCCTCCATTCTTCCAAGGAAGCGTTCGGTTCATTATTTGAAGTGTCCCCGCAGATCGATGAACCCCATTTTATACCATCTTCCTGTGATAGCCACGTATCAGAATACTCGTCTTGCTCACTCTCGATTGTATCTTCAAGCTCGCCTTCAGAAAGGTCAGCGATAGATTCACCACCTTCACCACATTCATCCCCACCATCAGAGACGACGTCCTCATCTATTACTTCTGTACATGTGGCTTCATCACCATCCTCAGCATGAAAATGACTACCGTCGTCTTCTTGAAGATCAATCTAACAAAAATAAACGTTCGGACATTAGAATATCTCCCCTAAGGTCTACATTAAGTGTTTGAGTGGAATAACTACACTTGGAATCCTACAACTTTCAATAAAAAAATTAAATCCAGAAACTGTCAACAAATTTTAAATTAAATGCTGTGAAGAATTTGACCAAATTCCTAAACATGGAGTGCCATGCAACACCATATTGTACTGCCACAGAGGATTTCTGTCAAATTTAACTGAAGGAGTGAACAAAAGAACTTGATCGCTTCATTGAAAAGTACTATGACTTAACTGCACTCCATACATAAGTTGTAGGACTTCTAGTATACCTATCTCAAGTTTAAGGGTTAGAAAGAGGGAAGAGATGATCAAGTACCAACCTTATTCCAAACTTCAATCATATTCTCAAGTTTCTCCCCAGATACACCTATTTGTTCGAGAACTAGCAATACTGAAGAACGATGCTCATCCAAATTTGGGGCGCTGGAATCTAGTACATGCTGCAGATCAATAGAACGTGTCAGTGAAACCAAAGTTTAGCTAACGCCTTTTGGTCTCTGGTACAAAACGAAAGCACAAGTTCCTGCAGTTGAAAAAGATAGGCATAACATTTCCCTGTTAAAATCATCACAATCTGCATGCTTAACACGGACTTTTTTACTGATTGGTCCAGAATAGTCTGCAATATGAACAGACTAGCACTTAAACATTGCATGTACTTCTTCTGTGATGCATAGACTTGTAAAAAATCAACCGGGTGAAAGGGGTTTGAAACTCATCTACCAAATGGGAACTAGCCAAATGAAAAGGGTCATAAGGACTCAAATGGAAGAGCTCGTGTACAATGATGGCCATGACAGAGCCTTATCACGTTCAGCTGATTCAGTTACACGGATTGTCTTACACAATTTGCGCTCTGTTCGATATCAGTTCCTTTAGTAACATCTAGATAAACGGCATAGTTACAAGACCATGCATTTGGATCCCAAAGAGGACCAAGAACTAATTTGCTCTCAATCTAACTGTAAAGTGCCACAATATTCTGGTACTTTTCCAATGAATCAGGCCATAAAACCATATGGATCTATACTCAAACAATAATCAAAAAGAGAATTATCAACCATCTATGCATACAGAGTATATTGCTATTTACAAAGACAAACACAGATCGCATTGAACATAATGTGTTTCTGCAAATATGTTTCAAGACACCTCTGTACAATTTATGCAAAAATATAGTAAAAATTATAACAGATCCTGGTGCAGTCTACTATATGGTTGGATAGGACATAAGAAATTTAGATATCCTAGCTACATAAAAATTTTGAAGAATCAAACTCCTGATAAAAATACTGCAAGAAGGATGACCAAAGGAATGAAAATGCTAGGAAACTCCAGTGACCCCTTTTTAAGGATTGGAAATAAAATCTAATGGAGAAGAGTGAGAATTTGTGTACCACGAGAAGGTCTGCTTTGATCACTTCTTCAAGAGTTGCATGAAAAGCTTTCACCAACTGCAATAATGCTTATAGCTCTTTAACAGAGACAAATTACCAAAAAAATAAGGTATCTTTATTCCAATAGATTTCCAAGTTACCTGCACAGGCAGATCTGATATAAACCCCACTGTATCACTAAGGAGCACTTTCCTCCTGAACATAATTCGCTTAATCAACTAAACAACTCATTAGATGAAAAGAATTTCCAATCTAAATAAACTTTGATAATGTGAATGGGGAAGCCAGTGTATTACCCAGAAGGAAGAACAACACTTCTTAGTCGAGGATCCAAAGTTGCAAACAACCTACAGGAGTTTTTTATACCAGCCAACAAACAATGAGATATACTAACTAGAAGGAAAATGAAAGCCTTAAAGAATGATACATTAATCATTTGAACAAACAGCTGAAGCATATCAAGTACCTATCATCGCTATAAAGATCAGTATCAGAAAGTGCTCCAACTAAAGTTGATTTTCCCTGCAAGACAATAAGAGATAACCCAAAATTTTATTAATTATCTTATTATCTCACGTGAATTGTTCGCAAAGATACTTCTTGACCACCTACAGCATTTGTGTAGCCAACAATAGCGACAGTTGCTAAACCACAATCATGTGAGTCTTTATGCCTCTTCCGACCAGCCCTTTGCGAAGCCCTTGTTCGCCGGACCTCTTCAATTTGGGATTCCAAAACACGCCGACGTTCTGAAATTCTGGGAAACTAACATTTCTTTTAATCATGAAAGGGACCACAGCAAAACTGAAAGCTTATTAAAAGGGCAGCATGAAAACTAGTAATCCCACGTATCACCAAAAGTACCAAAATATGTACATGTAATCAACAAATTCATCGAGATGCCAAACACAAGTTCAATTTTCAAGAGAGTGAAAAAGCCCCAGAATGGGAATCACTATACATAACACCTTTGAACAGCTTGAGATAGAATTCAGATGGCCTTAGTATGATGACAAACAGCAATGGTGAAATTCACGAGGTTTATTACAAGGTTAGAAGAAACCCAATTCCGAAATTGTAGGTACAGACATACAAAAATTAAGAGGATTCTCTTTTCATGTCAAAGAAATAGATACAGCTTACTGCTATTCAAAAACAGTAGTGCTCCAGAGCATGCATACTGTACTTGTAATCTGATAAATCTATCTCATAAGATTATTGGATTATAACATGTACAGTTGAACTGGAGATTGAGAGAGAGAGAGAGAGAGAGAAAGAGAGAGAGAGAGAGGGAGAGAGAGGGAGAGAGAGAGGGAGATCTGACTTGATGCTTTGCTAGCTCTCACTAGCTTTATCAATGTAGGAGAAGAGAAGAGAGAAAGAAAGTAATGGCAACTTTACTCAAATAGTGAATTGAGGGAAGAATCAAACAGAAGATGGTGGAACAAAGGTAAGGCAACAAACTCTTTACTATAGTCACCAAAACCAACTCTTTATTGCAGTCAATGAGTGTCAAACAATTGAAACCGAAAAAATTTTGAAAACCAAAAAAAAAAGAAAAAGAAATGATCATGTAGTACATGAAAACAGAAAGTACTTTAGAATAAAGCGCAATATGGAGTATACAAATTGATATATTATCTGGTAGCCCTGCGCTGTCAAGGTTGAACCAGATATCATACTCATCTACATAGTCACAGTGCACTGAAGACAAAACAGGATTAAAAAAGTCAATCCTTTGACATCCAACCAAAGTTGTTGCTCATTA